TAAACCGAAGGGTTCCTTCAATCCAAGGGTGAAAGGAGGGACCCTGAATCAGGACTGCTAGGTATATACCCTTAATCTAATAGCTATTATATAGGGGTCCCTCCTTTTCCCCTTTGATTCAAGGCCACAAGGGATCCTGTAAGGTCCTACGGCTGATGATAGAAATCCTGCATTACCCATAATAAGGAATATACCATAATTCCCATAGTTTAGGGTCCTTCAGGTAATGCAGGATTTCTAGCATCCACCGTAGAAGGGCGTCTTTAGAGGCCTGGGCCTTGACTCGATAGCTTCGGCATGTAGGTGATAACTTGGTTTGAGGGTACTGCATGAGGTCTGAGGGTTTAGGGGTTAGGGCTTATAGGGTTTAGGGTTTAGGTTCTGAGGTTACGGATTTCAGTCGAGCATGCTAAGGTATAGGGTTTAGGTTCTGAGGCTACGGATTTTACGAGAGCATGTGCAGAGCCTGGGACATTCACAGCTCAAGCAACCTTTCCTAGACCTTTCCTGGATTAAGTTCTTGAGTTGCTTACTTGCCCAGTATCCTAAGGGAACTAGAGGTTTATCTTTGTGATTATAATACCACGAACAGGTAGAAAGGTTATCTACCATACTACTACAGTTAGGCTCCCCTCTCTCAGACTCTGGCCGAACCCTGAACCCTAATGTCTAATTCCTAAAGCCCTGAAACTTTTGCTTTAAACCTTACAAGATAGCTATTCAACCTGTAACAACTTCAAAAAAACCTAATTCCTCACAGCCTCTGCTGACAATCTTGTGTTGACAAGCTGCGAGTCTCAATAGTCATGTACTATCTGTATCGCTATTCATAATTTTCAGTATCGTTTGCTTTATCATAGTTGTCCTGGCTGCATGTCGGCTATCGTTTGCGGCCGGACGAGTGCAGGGGCGGAAGGCCGGAGGCTCGATTTTGCGGCCGTCATGGGATCCACTATTTCCTCGACATTGTCCCTATCCCTCCAAGGACCTCATAGTTAGGGCCCCAGACCCCTTTAGGACCCCATAATAAGGTCCCTGGAGGCATAGGGTTGTTATCATGGATGTACTTATCATTTGCACTTGTGGACGGAGGAGCGGGCAAGCCGGCGAGTGGGCGGACGGGCGCGCAGTGATACCGTCATAAACATTTCCTTCTTCGTTGTATTTTCGTTGAGATGTTTATGCATGTGTTTTTGCTTTCTCCATCACTTTTGGCATGTGTTTGTGGTTTCCGCTGGTGGGCAGAGGGGCGTTGTGCCGAGGAGCGGGCAGGCGAGTGAACGGGCGGGCGACGGGGTCCAGGAGCTCCAGCCAAGCACACACACGCGCACACGCACATAACGAATCCTGAGCTTTGAAAAGAAACCCTAAGGCTCCATGTACCCATATAGTATATACTTAAGCCTCAAAGAGGTCCCTATTATAGGTACTTTAAGGCCAATGTATATAGACTATATGGGTACATGGAGCCTTAGGGGAAAGCACCAAACTGCTCGCACGGACAGTCGCAACATCGGTTTAGGCAGGTATTTGTGAAGACGAACTACACGGTGGGGCTCGAAGGAGGCAGGGCCAAGTAGGGCACCTGACCCTGAACCCTAGAGTAAATCTCTACATCTCCCGGCCCTGAACCCGAGAAAACCGAAGTTTTTGGAAGTATACGGCGTAGGGTTCCGGATTCTGGCCTTTGGCTTTAGGATTGGTAGGGTTTGGGGGTTGCCCAAACCCTAAACCCTAATCGCCAACCCCTGAACCCTAAACCCTGAGCATCCGAAACTCGGAGCCCCACCTCAACACGCTGAGCTTTGCCGAACTCCAGGGCAATCGCATCCACAAAAGTCCTGCTCTTTCTCTCTCTTTCCGCAAGCGGGTTCAGGGTTTACGGCTTTAGGGCTTACCGTGTTCTTGGTTTGGGGGTGTACGATTCAGTCGCAGTCTACCATCCTAACCTCTGGGTTGTCAGCCGATGGTCACCTCTTAATTGCCGTCTGACTCTTCAGAGCTTGTTGTTTAGCGTGTTCCACCCTAAACCCTAAACCCTAAACCCTAAACCCCTAAACCCTAAACCCTAGACCCAAGAGTAGCCTAGGAATAAAAAGGGTGCCCTTTTTGGTTTAAAGGGGCTTATAAGGGAACCTGAACCCTAAAAAAGGGAATAAGGGCCTACTCTAGGTCCTAGAACCCGTGTGAAAATGAGCACGATGCAAACGATGGATACCTACCGAAGATACGGAGCCCTAAACCCTACCCTATGCCTCCAGGGACCTTACTATGGGGTCCTTAAGGGGTCTAGGGCCCTAACTATGAGGTCCCTGGAGGGATAGGGTAAGATAAGAAGCGAACGAAATCTACATCATAACGAACCTCATTTCAAACCTCATGTCCTTCGAGGCATGTTTGATTTAGTGAGCCAGGCTATAAGATCCTTAATGGGGTTTATAAGTAGACATAACTATTAGAGTACCCAAACTCTGACGTAACTGAACATGCTACTCCGGTTGATGATATAAATCCTGCATTACCTTAAGGACCCCAAACTATGGGAATTATGATATATTCCTTATTATGAGTAATGCAGGATTTATATCATCCACCGTCCCGATGTCCCCTGATCATGGTGATAGGGCCATTGCGGCCAAGGCGTAGCCTGTTTTCGGGCCTAGCGTGAAGCACACAGCGCTGTTGTGGGTTGCGGGGAAGCCCTGGTCCTGTACTTCGAGGATTGCATGCGCCAGTTCCGCATCGGCTGCACCTGAGATTGACTTAGGGCTATTAGGGTTTAGAGGTGGGCGTTCTTTCAAGTTATGATGCCGAAGAACTAGAGGCAGCTATCAGCCACCAGAAAGACTTTTAGACCCTCAGACTTGTGCGCACCCGTAGTCGTTCTCCTAATCCAGAAGGTTACTCATGGGTTTAGGCTGGGTACTGCCCCCCACTCTGCAACACTTGGACAGTATCACGCCCGTAATACGGCAGTTTCCGAAAATAGGGATCCCAATATAGTACCCTAAAAGTAGGGTCCCTATTATAAGGACCCCAAAGTAAGGTACCCCTAATTTTCGGAAACTCCCATATGACCCCTGTCGTACAGGGTGGGGCAGTGCCCAAGGTAAAAAGGTACACACCGGATTCCGAAATCAGAGCTAGAATGTGTCGGGTTCCAGAATCTGTTTAGTTTCTACTCTAGGGCTTACGTATACGGTTTTGGGGGGTTCAAGTTTAGGTAGAGGGGCACATGTAACGTCTTGGCGAGGAGGGCGGAAGCATCCCAGTTGGTTTTTCGGACCCGTTTTCCCAGAGTAAAGAGCCGGTTTAGGGGGTTTTTATGGTGTCCTTGGTCCAGGGCTTTAGATTTATATAGGGTTTACTTACATTAACCCTATGCCTCCAGGGACCTTATTATATGGGGTCCTTAAGGTGTCTAGGGCCCTAACTATGAGGTGCTTGGAAGGTTAGGGTAACTTCGTGTGTTTTTTAGTGCTTCGGCTTTGGCATGTCGAGGGTCGGCTCGTGGTTGGGACTATGTCATACAGAGCTGCGAACTTACCTTAAGGACGAAATGAACCCTAAAAGGATTTAAGGTTCATATACCATATAGGGGTTCATAGTATATGGGTTGAAGGCCCCTACTTTTAAGGGTCATGTGGTCCTTCAAGTAGGGTTAGCAGGCTGCGTCGCAAACGGAGCTTCCATGAGCTCTCAGAGACTCAAAGTGGTTCTACCCGCACGTTGTGTGTTGGGGTGACAAGCTGAAACCCGACTCCGTGAAAGCCGAAACCTAAGCTTCGATGAACATGGCCCCTCAAACACTCAGGTCACGCCGAAGGGTTTGCTCTTCGTGTGAACTGCCAACCCCAAGACATGCAGATCCCAAGGCCCTACCCTATCCCTCCAGGGACCTCATAGTTAGGGCCCTAGACCCCTTAAGGACCCCATAACAAGGTCCCTGGAGGCATAGGGCTACAGTAAACCCGAAACCGAAAACCCTAAGCCCAAAACCCCAAACTCTAAGCCCCAAACCCCTGAACCCATACCCAGCCGGAGCGCTGGGGATGCACGGTAGACGCCCGTTACATGGATCCGATCTCCTGGACGGACCTTGCGTTTGGTTGGGTAGCGTTTGTTCCGGATCTCAAGAAAGAGCTTGCTCCGGCTCGCCCTGTGCCTGTGTACAAATGTATAAGTGTGTACGTACATATGCATATACACATATTCGTACTAACACTTGTACCTATTCGATCTTCATATGTTTCGCTCTTTCTCGCTCTCTCGCTCTCTCTCTCTCTCTCGCTCGCTCTCTGCATCTGCCTCTCTACCTATCCATACCTTACCTACCTACCTACCGACCTGTCTGCCGATCCGTCTATCTATCCTTCCATCTAGATACACGAATCTATATTTGATGAGAAATATGAGCAGATTTCTTGCTTGTTTTTACTATCTTCGAGCACATGTTAGAGAGAGGGAAAGGCAGACAGAAAAGCGAGAGAGAGGCAGAGAGAGAGAGAGGGAGAGATGGAGAGACACAGAGAGAGAGAGAGAGAGAGAGAGAGAGAGAGAGACAGGGAGAGAAAGAGAGAGAGGGAGTGACGAAGAGAGAGAGAGAGAGAGAGAGAGAGACAGAGAGAGACAGAGAGAGAGGGCATCAGAGGCAGAGGCAGAGGCAAAGGTGGATGCAGAGGTGGGCTGTAGCAGCAGAAGCAGCACGGGCAGCATGTGGGTGCCGTGGCGGTCTTAGTTGTGGCACTGGCGGCAGTGGTGGCGCATGCGATGGTAGTCGTGGTGTTTGGGGTGGGCAGGTGCTCATGCTGACGTTGCTGGAAGCAGTGTTGCTGCTGATGCTGGTTTCGACGATGCGGCTGCCAAACCAACAACATCTTAAGCCTGGCATACTTAGCCCACAACCCCATGCAGACTTCACACACTCTAGTCACTAGTCTGAGGTCTCAGCCGCCACATCAAGGCAAAAAACTAACCGAAACTAACCAAAGGTAAGTTATTTAGAGGGCCTGATTCACCAGGTCGTCGTAGACGACGATTGCCACGTTCTGCGGCGTCTCTCCTTCCGGAATCAGCTCGGGCGTCTCCTGCGGCAGGCTTCGGTCTTTAGAACTCATAGGGTTTAACAGGACCCCAATTAACCTGCCTTTCTAAGGTAAAGCAATCATAATGACAAAATGAGAAATCTGGTTTAGGGTTTGGGGTTTCGTTTCCCATAAATAACAAGCCCTCAACCCCTAACGGCCCCCGGCTCACGACTAGCAGACGGCCCTGAACAAAATGGTAATACAAGTGCCGCTTAATACCTATATAACGTGCCCTAAACCCTTTACCCTCAAGCTATGTTGTACGGCCTACATACATTCAGAAAGAGAAAAGGATATGGGAATCAGGGCAGGAGAACAGCTTGAAACCTCAGCTAGGTGAGTTTGAAGCGATTTGTCATACTCTGCAATGCATTGGATAACATCGGATACCTTCCTCATGGTGGCCGATTTCCTTGGTCATAAAAACCTTCCGATGAGGCCTGCAGCCTCACGCCTTCCGTGGCAGTCTCTTCCATTGTGGGTTTCTTACGCTATGCTGGAATTAAAGGGTGTCCTTGCGACATCTATCCAGACTCCAGACTACTCGAGAGGCTATCCCTAGGCACCAGTTATCTAAATTCAGGTTACTACAACCATATAGTATACAAGCCCATGTTATTTAGGTAACTGGAGCCCTAGGAGAAGGCGACGCAGCGACGACCCCGTCACCACCGCTGCTGCAACTGCTCCTCTCCGTGTCCTCTGAGTGCCCAGACTCTCACATCAACCATTGTTGCAGAAGTAATCCCGAACCCCACCAGCACTCCTGTAGAACAGGTATGGAAGCCCTACAGTCCCCGAATCTTCCCTATGTCTGCAGGGACCCTACAAGACCCTTTCCTTTTTAATCCCCTAAACCCTAAACCGAGACTCTAATTTCTAGAGCCCAGGTCCTGCAACTTGAGAACCTGCTTGTCCGTGAAGTGGCAGTCGTTGTGGATGATTTGAAACGAGTGGCCTGGGGTTTAGGGTTTAGGCTTAGGGTTGAGGGCTTAGTTTGGGGTTCAGGGTTCAGGGTTTAGGGTTAGGGCTTAGTTTGGGGTTTGGGGCTTAGTTTGGGGTTCAGGGTTCAGGGTCAGGGCTCAGTTTGGGATTTGGGATTTAGGGTTTAGTTTGGGTTTAGGGTTTAAGTGGCCTGGTCAGCCAAGACTGGATGGGATTCATGCAGCATTGGAGTTTCTAGAAGTGCATACTGCGGGTTTAGGAAAGTGCCGCGGTTCGGCCTCCTTGACCCGTACCTACAGTCTCCATTGTAGTTCCTTTTTTGGTTTAACCAATGTTAAGGATCCTATAAGGTAACCCCAAAAAGGAACTACAATGGAGACTCTAGGTAAACCCTAAACATTGGGTTCTTGGACTTTAGGCTTTATAGGGTAAGCCGTAACCGCCCAGAGCCCCAGAAAAACCCACGAATCCCGACCAAACCCTAAACCCTAAACCCTAAATCCTAAACCCTAAACCCTAAACCCTAAATCCTAAACCCTAAACCCTAAACCCTAAATCCTAAACCCTAAACCCTAAACCCTAAATCCTAAACCCTAAACCCTAAACCCTAAATCCTAAACCCTAAACCCTAAACCCTAATCGAACCCTGAACCATCAGAACCATCTCAGCCTAAGCCCTGAACCCCAAAGCTCCCAAGCAGAAACGCAGATCCCCAGACCTTCCAAAATCCCTTAATTAAGGAATATACCTTAATTCAGATTAGGGATCCTATTATAGTGTAAGGTATACTCCTTAATTAAGGGATTTTGGACCTTAATTCATATTAGGGATCCTATTATAGTTTAAGGTATACTCCTTAATTAAGGGATTTTGGAAGGTCTGGGTCGAAACCAAGGCAAGCCGCTTGAACCGCAAACGTCGCACTTCGTGGGCTCCTGGATAGTCCAGTGGCTCAGCAGGCAATTGACCTGGAGGGTGTTGGAACCCCTAAACCCTAAACCCTAAACCCTGAACCCCTAAACCCCTAAACCCTAAACCCCTAAACCCTAAACCCTAAACCCTAAACCCTAAACCCCTAAACCCTAAACCCTAAACTAAACTGTCAACCCTGATCCCCAGACCCTATAAACCCTACACCCCTATGCCCCAAAACACCACTGCTACACCTTACCTTGAAACCCTAAACCCTACACCCCAAATCACCACCATTTTAATCCTAAACCCTAAACTAGTGTATATAATGCTTTGAGGTTGCTAGTGGAAGCTTCGGGGGTTCGACAGGGTTGCGAAGGGATAGACACTTTCGTAACCAAAAGTCTCTTCGCAGGGTCTTATGGCGGCTTCGGGAGTGCTCCCCTAAGGGTCCATGTACCCAAGTAGTATACTTACTTTGGCCTTACTGAAAGTGTCCCTAAAGATGCGAAAGCCTGACTATTGGGGGTTAGGCTAAAGGCTTGGGGACTAATGATTACGTAGCGGTTTTGGGTTGGGGGTGTTTGGGGTTCGGGCGAGCCAGCGGTGAAAACCTTCCAAGCCGCGCTCAGACCCTCGGGCGGCCACTCGAACTCTGTGTGATCTGGGCTCTACCATGTTATTTTATAGGTCCTACAGAGCAACTACTAAAAAGGACCATAAGGCCTCAGGAATTAGGAAGTACGGGGTTAGGGTTTTGGGTTTCTAGGATTCAGGTGATCCGGGCGACAGGTTCAGGGGCTTCCTCGCGAGTCTCACAAGTGGCCAGGGTCTGTACCACAAAGCCTCAAACCAAACAAAAACCTCAGCCTTTCATGGTTCCTTTGTTGAGGCTCCTTTAAGGGTTCCGTTAGCGGCTCCTTTTTATCTTTTGCCTACACCCTAAAGGTTCCTTTAAAGGGACCTTCCAAACTCGAGTCCCTGAAGTCCAAACCCTACACATCGAAACCCCAAAACCTTCGACCCCAAAAACTCCAAACCCCTAAAAACCCTTATTTCTAAGACCCTACCTAAATCCCGAGAGCGGAGTTTCACCGAAAATTAGGGGTACCTGATTTTGGGGGGTCCTCATAATCAGGAGCCTACTATTTCGGGTACTATATTGGGGTCCCCCTGTTTTCGGAAACCCCTATCATCCCCCTTAGTCGTAACTCTTATAGTATCCTTTTTAAGGGCCCCTTAAGGGAACCCTGTATTCTTACCCCTTGAGCCTATCTGCCCGGAAGTCGCGCCTCGTTCTTGCAATCCTCCGTGGTGCACCGGAAGATGGCCCGGTTCATGTCCTCAGCGTCACTCGGACACGTCTGCAGTCTCAGGGCTGAGGTTAAGGGCCTGTACCTATAGTCTCCATTTTAGTTTCCTTTTTTGGCTTAACAATTTTTATGATTAATAAGGATCCTAAAAAAGGTAAACCCAAAAAGGAACTGCAATGGAGACTATAGGTAGGGTTTAGAGTTTAGGCTTTAGGGTGTGTATACGGTGCGCGCGCGCGCTGGGTGTGTGCTTGCTTTAGGAATAAGGGTGCACCCTATCATCATTGACATTATTAACATAATACATAGTGCATAGATACTTTTATCAGTACTATGATCATCATCGATATCCTATTGTAATATAGTATGCGGCTACTATCATCATTATTATGGTCATCATTCTTATCTTACCGTAATATTGTATTTAGTGCATATTGCGCTACATATTACCGTTAGACTATGTGCAATTATATGGTGTATATTATAATATTGCAAAGAAACCCTTATTTTATCCTACTAGTAGCCCTTTAAAGGAAGCCGAAGGTACATAGTCTAATCCAGTGCATATCGCTGTATATGATCCTGATCCCCCTGAGCGGTTGGCCGGTTTCAGGTCGGAGACTCGGATGACGATGCCCTTCACCTCGGAGACTAGACTGTCTGGTTCTTAGTATGGGAGAATAAGGATCCATGCCCTTCCTCTCGGAGACTTGAAGCCACCCGGAGGGGTGTAGGGCCTACCGTAACCCGGAAGAACTTACCTTTTTGATGACTTGTATAAGGAAATCACAATAAGGATTGCCAACAAGGTAGGTTATTCAGGTTTAAGGTAGGGGTTTAGGGCCGAGGGGAATGGGGTTAAAGTCTAAGAAAGTTAAAGGGTTCAGGGTTTCACAGGGAGGGGTTTTGGGGGTTTAAATTTAGGGCTCAAGGTCTCCGGCGTTCGGGTCTCCGGGTAAAACAGGGATACCGGGAGGGTTGTAAGGCGTTTTTGGGGGATTAGGGTTTAGGGCCTAGGGGTTAGGGGTTAGAGTTTAGGATAGTTTAAGGTTTAGAGGCAAGGGTTTTAGGGTCTAGACTTGGACCCTAGGTTTTTATGCTTTAAGCGGTTCAGGGTTTGGGGTTTCGGGTTTCTAGCGCTTCGGATTCAGCATGCAAGGGTCTATGGAGCTTACAGCACTTGTAGGGTTTAAGGTGCGGGTCTTTAAGGCTTTAGGAACTCTAGGGTTGTCAAGATTACAGGTTTCATGGGGTTTACGGGATTAAAATTAGGGTCCGAAGCAAAGCTACACGCAACCCTGAACCCCCTAGCCTCTACGATAACCCTAAACCCTACACCCTTGAAGCAACCCTCAAAGCTCTTGAGGGAAACGCCCTTCAACCGCCTTAAACCCTGACCTGCAGCCCTCACCCCTTGAACTGAAACCCTCAAACCCAAGGGGAAAGGAGGGACCCTTAATGGGGACCCCTACCCTATAATGGGCCAATGGGTATATAATAGCTATTAAGGGTCCCTCCTGTTACCCTTGGATCGAACTCTTTGACCGCAACTTGAACCTATGCCCTCCTCCCCAACCCCTCGAACGCAGATATTCAAGCTTCCATGGGAACCCTAAATAGTACCCTATGCCTCCAGGGACCTCATTACGGGGTCCTTAAGGGGTCTAGGGCCCTAACTATGAGGTCTGTAGGATTCTTTCTATAATAAGGACCCCAAAGTAAGGTACCCCCCAATTCTCGGAAACTCGCGTATATCAAATCCTATCAAAACTGACTGAACTCCTGCCGACTCCTGCAGACGGGATGCCGTAATCAGCCGCTCGATGTCCGTGGGATTCCTCGATCGGACTTTCTGAACGTTATGGGGCGTGCCAAGGCATAGCGCTTTTGGGGGTTCTGGCTGTCAGGGTTACGGGCATAAGGGTTTTTTTTGGGATTAGGGTTATAAGGGTTTTAGGACTTAAGGCGTTTTGAGGGCCTAAGGCTTAAGGGTTTAGGGTTCGGGCTTCTAGGACCTATAGGGTTGACGGGCCTAAGGTTTGGGGGTTTTTCGGGGTTTCGCACTTACCCTATGCCTCCAGGGACCTTATTATGGGGTCCTTAAGGGCTCTAGGGCCCTGCCTATACCCTAAACCCTAAACCCTAAGCCATAAGCCCTAACTATGAGGTCCTTGGAGGGATAGGGTTAAGGCTAAGGTGTCAGGGCACAAGGATTTGCAGCAATGACGCCTTCTGCCCAGAACCCGAACGCCGCATGAACAGCTCCAGTCCTGAAGCCAGCATCCAACAGATTAGAAAGATCACCCTAAAGCATACCATAAACTTACAAAAACCTTGACGTGAACCCTGAACCCTATAAACGCTACTAAAAGCCCTCGAACCCTAGACCTACTAAAAACCCTGAGCCCTTAACCCTAAGCTTACGGAAACATGGCCTGGCTTTTTCGAGGTGAGTGGATTCAGCCTAAGAGCCCCATACTACGGATTCCACAAGGAGAACGAGCCTCCTTTCAAGGGATCCTTTCCCCAGGCATCTAAGGACTCATATATTAAGGCTTTTGGGCCCGAAGACCATACTATATAAGGCTTTTGGGCTATTTTGATGCCCAGGGTTTGAGGCTATCGGCTAGAGAAAACTCCCAAGACTCTCCAGATCTCCAACCCCAAACCTTTTGCCGCCCAAGCATCATGTTCCGCATCATCCTGCAATCCTTCTCAAGCCTTGGGATTTTGGGGATTTGGAGGTAAGGGGTTTACTACTTAAAGGCTGAGTCAGTGATCGTGTTGGGCCTTTAGGTTGCAGGGAACTCCGGTTCTGGGGTTGAAGGTTATCGTTGTTTAGGCTTAGAAAACTTGGGGAACTTCGGGCGTGGGCTTTAGGAGTCTGGGCCTTGGTCTAGCCTCTGGATTTGGACCAACAGTCTGGGGTTTTTAGGGTTTAGGGTTTGTTCAGGTATTTCGGAGACTGCACTTTAGAGCAGAGAGAAAACGTATTTTGCTGCAGCAGAAACAGGCCAAGTGGGCGAGACGAATCGCCGCCTAACCCAAACCCCAAGCCCCGCACCCCTAAAGACTGTTTTTACCAAGCAAGTGAGACATGCATCAACAAGAGCTAGTTGTGGAACTGACAAAGCCTCAATCCAACACTAAAGTTTGGAAACAACCTTAATTAAATCCGATACTGCACTTGGGTTGTCTTCCTTCGAGGTGCATGCAACTCCAAAAATAGCTACATTGTGGGACAGCCGTTATGCCCCTGAACCTCGAACGCTGCGATCCCGATTCTTATCAGTCTGGACCCCAACCGAAATACACTAACATGCGAAACCAGCTAAAACCCTAAACCCTAAACCCTAAACACCGATAGTTCAAACTTGTAGAACCCGCACAAGATCCTCATAAACCCTTAAGGTAAAAGCCAGAAAGTTGGAATATGATTATCCTAAACCCTTTATGGTAAATTATAGGGTACCCTACCCTGAAACCATATTTCAACTTTCTGGAGTTCCCTTTAGCCCCGAAACTTGGGCCAAGGCTGTCAGTCTCAGGTCCGGGGCGCAGTGACTCTTAAAAGACTGACTCCTCAAACATATCCCTATCCCTCCAGGGACCTTATAGTTAGGGCCCTAGACCCCTTAAGGGGCCCATAATAAGCTCCCTGGAGGCACAGGGTATTGGACCCAGAGGGGCGTAGGGCTTAGGGCTTAGGGTTTATAGGGTTTATAGGGTTTATAGGGTTTATAGGGTTTAGGGTTTGGGGTTACAAGGACTTAACAAGGTCTATTTTCGGCATATTATAGTCCCCTGCCCCCCTCCCCCTACCCCCGTAAGGGTCCCGATGAATGAGGGTCCTCCAGAATCCTTGCAACAATCCCGGTCATGCAAAACTTCCACCTGCCAAGAAGCAAGGAATAAATCTGCACCTGAAGCGGTGAAAACAAAACATGAGCCACACTTCGTGCTTTCAAAGCACCGGGGTTTGGACCATTGGGTTGGGAGTGTGCTGAGGAGAGGGTATACAATATTTACGCCTTTACGTCTACATGAACCTGCCTAGTTACAAAGGTGCAATCTCATCTATTCATGCACTGCTTGATGTTTCTGCTTGTTTCATATCTCTGGACAGATATCGCAATGCAGATTCTGCCCTCCTGTAGACGCCGACACCTGCAATCCGAACCAAGACCTCTGATAACCCGCAAGCCAAAATTCAAAAACTAAGCCCAAGGAACCTGAAACCAGTTCTAAACCCTGAACCTTAACCTAAACCCTAAAAACTGAACCCCTTAAACCCTAAACCCTGCGCCCGCAACTCCGGAGTCCGCCTGACAAGTCCCGAGTTCATCAGGATCTGCTTGGAGCTCTCGCAGGGAAATCTCCCTTGGTCTGCAGAGCTTCAGGGCTATACGCATACATGCGTTGGCCTTGAAGTAATCCTCTAGGTACTTTAGGTCCAGGGTATATGATATGGGTACATGGACCACAGGGTTTTCATTGAAATGGGTGGTTGTCAAAATTAGGGTCCCTTTTTGGGTCCCTATTATCGTACGGCACCTAATATTTAGGGTACCCCAAAAAAGGACCCTAATTTTGACAACCACCCTCGTGGAGTTCAACGTGAGGATGCAAGCCTCAGGAGGCGGGAATTTTGGGTCCTTGGCGTTGGGTGCTGGGTTTCGGCCCGTGACAACACGGATCCTCTTTGTTCGTATCACTCCGTGCCATTCAAGGTCCCTTATAAGTTTTGGGAGATGGTTTATAGGAACTTGTAAGTAAACAGAGTTCTTGAAGGGGCTTGCACTGAGGAAACTACTATTTAAATCGATCGTAGAAAGAGAAGCTGGGCATCGTTCCTTGTTGCCGTCATAATGATACCGTGAATGTGGAGATCGCTACCAAACCTTCTGAGGGCTGTAGCTCTGGGATGATCAAATGTATTTATGAATACGTGCCTCTACAGGAACCATAAAGGAGAAATCAAACAGTTTCCCGACTTGCCACCTGATTTTTCGGGCATGAAGGCATGCCAACCCATTGCTCGCTATCCCTCATGGCAATCCACCAGCAGCCTACTAGATCTTTTGGAATGCCTTGGTCAGCCAAGCTTCCACAGCTCTTTATCGAAGATCGGCACCACCTGCAGGGCGCTTCTGAAGAAACACACTTCTCAAAACATATCCCCCCCCCGAGGTTTGCTGCCAATGCATCCAAAAACCTTCCATGTCCCATGTCCGACTATGGTCCTCAGCACGTCTTCGCCTACAGCCTAAACTCAAAATACCCTAAAGCCTAATCCGATGCCGAAGCCTTCAACCGGAAGGAATCGAACGAGGTCCCATGCCTCGCTGGGGTAGTCCACCAAGTATCCATACAGCTCCGGCGAAAACCTGCTAGTATGAGAGCCTTACGGTTGAGGACTTGAGGTCTTAAGGTATCAGGGTTCAATCAAGGATTAGGGTTTAGGGTATAGGGTTCAGGGTATAAGAACCTTACGGTTGAGATCTTAAGGTCTTGAGGTATTAGGGTTCAAGCTTCTAGGGTATTACGGTTCAGGGTTTATTGCGTTTAGGGTTTAGGGCAGGGTTTAGGGGTTTAGAGTTTAGGGGTTTAACGGTTTTAGGATATTGCGGTACATGTAGGGGCTAAGTTCTCGAGGGCTCCAGCTACATCTAAAATAATACTGTGTTACATCACATATGTCTAGTGACCTATTATGTAGGTAAGTGGAGCCCTCTGGCTCAATGAAAAGGATACGGCTCGGGGCCGGGTAGTACATTTCTGAATGGGGGGGTGTAGTCTTACTATTTACTTGAGACCTATATATATATATATATATCTCTATATATATATATATATCTATATATATCTATAGCTATTACCCTAAACTCGACGCCTAAGCCCTAAACCCTGGCCTCCAACCGAAACAACTCGGACCTAGCCCCCCCAAGCCTCACATTGTGACTTGAGACTGAAACCCAAGAACTCTTCGGGTTTAGGGTTCACCTGGACCCGATAAAGCCCTCCCTTGTTTAGGGCTCCTTATTCTGGTTTCTTTGTATAAATCCTGAAAATAGGTTATTTGGGGTCTAGGTCTGGGTCCGGTTTTTGCGTATGGTAGCTCTTTGAGATCTCGAAAAGGCTAAGAGATTATGCGAGCGATCTGGGTTGAGTGTTCTCAATCGGCCCTAAACCCTAAACCCTAAACACATCAGCATGTCGCCCCACCGGATCACCACTCAACCCGAAGCTATGACCCGCAACAATCCCAAAGATCGGGAATAGATGTTGAACTGTGAAACGCTGATATAACGAAACCAACCCTCCATCTTGCGACCATACCCATATGGGAGTTTCCGAAAACTAGGGGGTTACCTTATGTTGGGATCCTTATAATACGGATCCTACTGTTTAGGGTCCTATATTAGGGTCCCCTATTTTCGGAAACTCCCATATCAAGCAACCCTCCTTCAACCCTAAACCACGAAATCCGCTCACGCTGAACCCTGATCCAGTCACGCAGCGCGTGAATGTGCATCCCCTGAATGGGCAGCTTCATCGTCCGCCGAAGGGTCATAGCTTCACCCTCCTGGGTATACCAGCCTGCAGTGGGTCCTATTTTCTGGCTTCGGGGCTGAGGGCTTTAGGGTGAGGGTTTCAGGCTTTAGGGTTTAGCAGTTGGGAGGCCTACCGTATTCAACTTTCTTCTTACGATGTTCTTGCACATGTCCTCAATATCTTATCCTTATGCCTCCAGGGACCTTATTATGGGGTCCTTAAGGGGTCTAGGGCCCTAACTATGAGGTCCCTGGAGGGCTAGGGTTATCGTTTTGGGCAACAGGCGGAGACCACCTGGGCGACAAGAAGGAATAGCAGGCTCTCGGGGGTAAATCCGGGGCTGTACAAGGTTCAGGCCGTGTGGCTTCCTATTTTGTGACCTTGTAACATAGGGCATTGATAGTTAATTTGGGGGGATAGTATACTATAGTTATAATAAGGAACCGCCGAAATAGTACAGGCAGTTCTGTAGGCCTCGAATATAGACTAGCTCGCCTTTCACACAGGCGCACAGAATGTTACTTGTGAGTTATGCTGAGGCAAGACCTCAACAAAAACAACAAGGCCCTCTGAAGCACGAACCTCAAACCCCTTCGCGCTAAACAGCTTAAGTCGGGGTAACATCCTTTTCGTGCCGTCTCGGTGTTACAAAGGCCCTGCTCATGAGCAATGAACGATGCTGACCGGGTGATTTGGATCTCCAGGCTCTAATTGACAGCTTCAATCTTCAGCAAACCCCCACACGTTAGAACGAGAACCCACCCTCCGCTGGCGCATTCGGACAAAAGGCCACCTCTAAACATAGCTTACAGCATACACTCCCAACCTCCAGAACCCTAGACCCATACCCACATCCTGCACCAAAACTCTGCAAAACACGGTCAATTAACAAATCAGGATATTTAGAAGCACGAGCGCCCACGAGCCTTTTTGCAGTTCCTTGAGGTAGTACGACTGCCCCTCTTCGTCCTTCGCCGAGGACACAAACTCAATGGGTTTAAGGCTTCGGGATTCTGGGCTTCATTATGTCAACAACGAATTCTCAGGCCTAAGATTCTGAGTAGATCCATGCCTGGTGAAGCCTGATGAACAAAGCACCTCCCTCACTGAGGGAAAAACCCACAGATCCTACATAAAAAGAATAAGCACAGATGCACGCAGGTACTCTGCAAATTAGCCCTCGATAAGACCCCCCAACCGCCCCGCCTGAATTAGTTAGTTTGGTCTTTGTTTCTGCTTGGGAGTAGTTGAGCTTGCTTTGCATGGTGAGGTAGTGACGATGGCATGAGTCCGGCCATGGCAGTGGTAGTGCCCACATGATGGTGAGGATTGCGCTTTTCAAGTTTGAGCTTTTACAGCGACACTGCTATGTTGCAAGGAACCCAAAGTAGTGATACTACTTCTTAGTCTTCTATATTGCACCGTCGTCTGCCCCTTCCTTTGGGAAAAACATAGAGGCACGGGTCGAAATCATCAGAATAAGTAAGCTTTTAGATCTTTCGTGTTTGCAAGGTCCGGAATAATGTGCCAGCATGCAAAGTCAGTTCAGGGTTTAGAGGCTAGCGGCCAGGCTCGTTGTTGAGCCTGTATGATGGCCCATATGATAAGGAAGCCTACATTTGGCAACACAGGCCCAAACCCTAAACCCTAAACCCTAAAGACCATAACTTAGACCCTGAACCATGAATCTGCCGCAACATATTCTCGAAGATGAACCTTACACCTTGACCGCTAATCATAGAATCATAGACCCTGAAGTAAACGGCAGGAGCCGTATGGGACAGTAGCGAGGGATAGATTCCAACGGAAACGCCCAGTCTCCTTGCTACCCAGCCCAAACACTAGGGCGCATGTAAGCCTTGCTTTATTAACGGGTTCGTTCAAAGGATAAAAATGAAAGGCTACCACAAAAGGGAGACTGCTACTGTTACTACAATAATGACTATATCTAGGCCATACAGTAGAAGCCCGAAAATTGGAATATCATTATCGTAACCCCTTTAAGGTAAATTATAAGGTATCCTACCCTGAAACCATATTCCAACTTTCTGGAGTTCCCTGTAACCCCCACACCCTCAACCCTACACCGCAAGCCCCAAATCCGAGCCCCAAATCCTAAGCCAAACGACCCGACTGAATCGCATACCAATGGGGTGTCAGGTGTGTAATACAGGGGCCTCAATTAGAACCGATACTATTTTGGGGGTTCCTTATTATCATTATTGTATACTGGACCCCTAAACCCGATTCTAATTGTTAAGGCCCCTATATTCGGGTGTAGGCTTTAGGGTTTCGGAATCCCAGACGGGCTCCCATTTGCGAAAAGTGGGAGAATGTCGACCCTAAAGTAGGGTTTAGGGTTTAGGTTTCACCTCTTTGTATGCTTGGAGCCTCGGGGTAATGGATGGTAACGGCATTTCTGCGAGATCTGGGAAAGCTGTCCTGCTGGTACTCGCGAATGAAGCGGCGGAAAGCTTGGACGACCTCCGAATGAAGTCGGGTAAGGGTGTAGGCTTGAGATGAGAGGGCGTTGCGGCTTGTGAACAGCAACAGTAACAGCTCAAGATTTGAGATGTGTGGGGAACATTACCCCAAATACCAAGCCCTACACTTACTTCTCCAATCTCACGGAAAGAACTGCAGGTTAGCATGTTGCAGGAGACGGGGATGATTTTACCAGAATTCGGTTATGGGGTATGTGGGGATAAGAATTTCAAGCTTTACAGTCTTCAGCCTGAGATCTAATTACCCACAAAGCCTTACGAAGATCCCTAAGCTCTTATAGAGCGACAGAAAACCTTTTCTTTGATAAGTGAGTCATGCCAAGCCTTCCGAAACAATGACCCGTCAACCCTCAACCCTAGATTCGAAACCGCATCGCCCAGCCCCAGTAACCAAGAGGAAACCCCTCCGCAAGTTCCGGTGGGTGTTGGGGAGACACAGCAAGAACAGGGCAATAGGGGCCTTAAGAATCAAATTGGGGTTTTGGGCCCATCATCTTAGAAGCTGATGGCCCCTCATGGTACTGAGGAATGCCATTTCAGAGCGATCAGGCTGCTTTATGCAATCCTAAACACTCGATGCCTCTGTCAAACGCAGTAGCTTCAACAACATAACGAACACGATGTATCACGATGTATGGTATTAATCAGCAAAATAGTCATCAGGACAGAAACGACAAGGGGAACAAGTGTTCGCCTTTATCATCAACTCCAACAGCCTTATGTCTATACTGAATGCATACGACCTGTGACCCGTGCCTCATCCTCGTTAATGCACGTGCCGTAAATGTAGGCGGACTCCGTCATGGCTTTGCGCTGAGAAACCAAAAAACAGATACGAATAGCAACGACCCCCGTCAGCTACAACTTGAGCCAACAGGTGCCGGAGGAGGTATGAAGGTCTGGTGCGAAGGTGTCGAGCTGTGCATCACAGTTACCAATTCAATGCGAGCCCTCTGAACCCTAAGTAAAGCCCAGACGCTAAACCCTAACAGCCCTACGTATGAACTGCGAACAAGTCTGGCAGAAGACTTCGAAATCTGCAAGACCCCACACCCTAAACCCTAAGACCCCAATCTCTGAACAGCAGCCGGACTCAACTCATCTGACCCTTCATCGGCGCCCTCCCACATGAAACAGGTAATGTAGGAACCAGATTAAGAAACCTTGGGCCTTTATCAGGGTTCCTTCTACGAATCCTACTATTTGGGGGTTGTAGGCAGGGTTTCTTAATCAGGTTCCTACAGTAGAGAGAACAGCCCATGATGAGGACACCGCCTCGAACCCCCAACTCAAACAAGTCTCACTGTCTGCAGCGCTGTATTTCGGCCCTATACACCCTAGTATAGCCATAGGCCCCATAGTAGTTCCTTTTTGCGGTTCATACTCCCAAAAAAGAACGAAACACTATGGGGCCTATGGTTACACCGTAAAGCCCACTTGCAGCCCCGAGCCCCAAAAGCCGTAAACTGCACGGCGCCGGATCTGAAACTCCACAGCGCGACAATCCAACTCCCCAACTCAAGCAAATCTCCAAGGGTGAAAGGAGGGACCCTTCATAAGGACCCCTATAGGTATATACCCTTAATATAGCTATATTATATACCTAGTATATAACCCAACTCCCCAACTCAACCCTAAACCCTAAACCCAGACTCAGGGCAAGGGCCCTGAATCCTAATGTAGGGGCCTTAATAAGTAGAACAGGGTTCTTTACAGGCTTTCTTTAAGGGATATTATAAGGGATCTAGAAGGGTACTACAATATAGGGGCCTTAATAATTAGAAGAGGGTTTTGGGGCCCATTATACTATGACAAAAACCCAATTATTAATGCCCCTATATGAAACCCTAAACCCCAAACCCTGAAGCGCTGATCGACAAAGCTCAAAGACTAAACTCTACATCCTAAAACTCGTCGATCCTGAATGAGACTCTATCCCTCCAGGGACCTCATAGTTAGGGCCCTAGACCCCTTGAGGACCCCATAATAAGGTCCCTGGAGGCATAGGGGTAGTATTGGTATGGAGAGGCCCCTGGGTGTATATTCTAGTGAAGCTTGAAGGGGAAGGATGTGTCAAGGAACACTCAGCAGTAGGCTCCATTAACTCCCAAGTAAGTGCATCAAGAAAGAGGCGGCCTGTAAGGTTTCGGCCTGAATTGAAGGTGTCCGGGGCAGTGCTCAGGCACATAATCATAAGCCTTACCTTAAAGCTACTACGATCTTCCCTTTCTGTATGGTCGTACTAAATAAAACAGACTCTTCGAAAACTCTGCTACAGTGATTGAAGAACTTCCCTTCACCTAAATATAAGCTAAGATAGGAACCTTCATAATTAGACGGTTCTAAGAACCTTACAGCGCCCTGAGACGCTACAGCCTGAATCCTAGACGACATGGAAAATGCCGGCCTGGCCAACGCAGTTCGAAGCCAAGTTAAAGCTGACCTAAATGCGGGTCTGGGCAAGGTTTAGCGTCTTTGTAAGTTAGAAGGTTTAATCAGGACTGGGTTTAGTTTAGGGTTGAGGCCTGAGGTTAGGGTTTTAAGGTCTGGTCAGAGGGTTTGTTGGCCTCTCTTCTATGTACGGGGATTGCTCTGCATGGGCCTCCAGCCCTAAATCCCAAGCCTCGACCCCGAAACCATTTGCAGGTACAGGATCGCGCACCGGGCCATAAATAGTCTGAACGGGTTTGGAGATACCTTAGGCCCTAAGGCTACCTACAACCCCTAATTCTATTTCTAGCTATTCCGATGCCTACATGACTCAAAAGCCTAAACAGTCAGCCTCAAGGAACCCGAGACGAATGAAGTAGTGGGTAAGTGTTCCGAAACCCCTTAACGAACCGCAAACCACTGACCCACTGTGTAAGTATCTAGAAGACCCTTAGCAACCCATGAAAACCCTATCAAACCCTCAAAGCCCTTGCAATTCCCGACGAAGCCTTCTAGGCCCTCCTTCAAAACCTTATACTGTATAGAGCCTGACAAAACCAGTATAATGTATAGGTACTGTAAGAGCCTCCATAATTGGAATAGGCGTGGGGAATGTCACAGTATCACGGCTACAAAAGGCAACGCTAAGGAATAGTGCTGCCCTTACTCCGGCTTCTACGTCCCCTTCAGGTACCCTCTATATTATAGTTCCCCTTATAGTAGCCCCGGGGATACCTCAACAGTAGCCTATATTGTACCCCTGTAGCAACCTTTGTGGCACCCTAACCTAGAGGCTCCATACATGCTACTATTGTGGAATTAGGCCTCAAACGACCATCTCAAGCGACCATCCTTATCATGGTCTTGGGGGAACTAATTCCACAATAGTCGTATATGATAGTCGTAGATATGGAGCCTCTTGATAACTAAAAAAACCCTTACTGTTGAATTCCGCGTGGCGAGTCCAGCGCAAAGCAACTGGAAAGAAGAGGCCGAGTTGCTTCGGGTTTCAGGGTTTAGGCGCCATAACCTCGAATGGTTTTCCTCTGAGGCTCTAATGTGTTTACGCGTCACGATCCTTAGCAGGCTTTCTACACCCGTCCTTAACGGGGTTTGAGCTTGCGTGTCCAGGATGGTACTTCCCCGGGGTTCTTTTGTGGGAGCTGATGGG